ATAGATATAGATTCAAACTAAAGACAACGAGTAGTTAAAAAATAAAGAAGAAGAACAAAAGAAAACGTCAAAAGACTTTGTTTAGAAATATAGAGGAAGAAAAAAACTAAAAAACAAATAAATTAGAAAAAAAACAACCTGAAAAAAAGTATATTGGTTATTTTGTGGAGGTAATCTTTAGAGATTTCTTTGCGACATGATATTAAGCAGCTTTTAAAAGGCGGGGGAGCGAGGCGAGGCGTTTTATACAGTATAGGGTGAAGCGTAAGCCCTGAGACACGGGGCATAAGTCCATGGATCTACGAGACGTAGTCTTGTGTATGTTCAATTTTATAGTTTTATTATTAATAAAATAAGCAAAATTAAACCTTTCAATGATTTATGATTTTAATTTGAGATAAATTAATAATCAATAATGAAGAAAAAAATATGATTTAAAGCAAAAAAAGTTCTGAAAAATAAATTAAAAACGCTCCGTGTACGTTTCTACGCCCAAGACTACGTTTTTATTCTCGGGACTTACACCTCAAACTTTAGGACTTACGCCTTACATCTTTCATTTACGCCCAATAGTACTTTTGGTAAGGCCCGCCCCAAAACTCGCCATGGGACTCGCTTCAATTTTTTTTTTAATAGATATTAAGTGTAGTATCAAAAAAAAATATGTAATTTAGAATATAATATTAAGATAGTTGTTATTATATATAGTAAGAAAGTTTCTTTCATGATTGTTCTATTGTTGTGGAGGCAAAAATTATTTTTTTAATAAATACTTTCAATAATGTTATTGTATATAGAAATAAAGTTATTTTCTTGATTGTTTTTATTGTTGTGAAGTTAGAAATCAATTTTTTAAGTATTTCTATTTATCGAAGATAATAATAAAATGTATCACAAAATTCATTGATAAAGTCAAAATACAAACACATTATACTTAAGCTGAAGCAATAGAGATTTGAATGACTTTAAATCGATCTTTCCGAATTGATTGATCAATGGTTATTATTTTATCAGATGCAAAGCTTATGGTGTAAATATTACAAAAAGAAGATAACAACATTATGAAAAATAGACACCACTTGCGAATATATATAAAGACCGATGAACTTTTTCAAAGATATCAACATTTTATATATTTCTTAAACACGAAATGTTTTAACTCTTAACCTAATGCAATTCTCTATTTCCTTTGTTTTTTTTAGAATTGAACTTTCTCAATTTTGATTGTAAACGAAACATTTATGTCGTATGACCATTTGAAATAGATTATAAAGTAATATATTAGAGTTGTTTACTTTCACATTATTCATTTGAAGTTCAGAAATATAAGTATCAGATTCATAACTAAGTTTAATCAATTGTATATAAAAAAAAATAGTGTTTATTTGATAGATTACATGTATATAGTGTTTCCCACCGGCGAACATGATACAAAAGGAAAATTCACATACACATAATCAATCTTTTCACTTTATGTATATGATATATTAGATATGACTTTTATCAATGCATATAAATTACATAATTATGTATCAAATTCACATAAGTTATTATTAGATAACATAGGTATGAGTCTTATCAACGCTTATTGATTTACATAAGATAATTATGTATCAAATAAATCACTCACACACAAAATTGAACTATTTTTTTAAAATTAAAAATAATAAAACTCACATATATTGTATATATACTTCACATTGTTAACAATTCAAACTACTTTATTGAAATATCACAGTGCAAAATTCATATAATTGAAAATTTATTCAACATGAACATGAATGTCTTATACAAATTCAATGATTCACTTTCTCTTAGGAAAAAAGAGTAAAAGTTCTATGACTGTTTTATTCTTGTCCACAACAATTCGTGTATCTCGACTTTTAAAACGGTTAGATATTGTATCTTGCCTTTAATGATACATGTAGCTCGCAAATCAAAATATGATATAGAAAGTAATGTTACAAACTGTCGTGAATCTTAGTAATTAGGATCTAAAGTATAGTTGTATCTGATACATATTTACTACGATATAGTAATCAGAACTGTGTGGATACATATGTGTAACATCTTGCTCTTCAAAACAAAAATTGTGTGGACACGAGGTATTTCGTCTAGTTGAAATCTTCATAATACATATTTTTCGCTCAAGGCTAACAATGTATCTTCTTCAAGATTCATAAACTAAAAAGACGATGCAACAACCTACAAAATTTGAATTAAAAAATGATACATTAAATAAACTATCATTTTTTGAAGCAAGACCGATCAAACTTTTTTTTTTGATAGTTCAAGCATTGACAAAGATGAAAAGACAGAATAGAACATGCTTGAGCTCTTATCGAGGCAAATTGAACATGACAAAGAATTTGATGGCATCCCAACTAGTAAGACATCCATCTCCATCTTTACCAAATTAACAACCTCATCATTTAAAAATCATTTTTTTTTGTTGTACCATTGTTGATAGATCTTCTTGTCTTCTTTTGAGCATCGATCAAAGAGGCTTGATAGACTAACCGTGAATAGAGTGAACGGTTGGCCAAGAGCTTCACCGGATGCATCATCAATGTATCTCTTCAACCATCTTGTTTGTTGTATTCATGACAGATTTGAGATTTCATCACTTTTGTAACCTTCATAACTCACTTCGTTCACCTAAATTTTTGAATGTCTCAACAAAATTGATATATTCATCTTGTATCAACAACTTTTTTGAATTTTTTAAAATTTATCACTTTTTTGATATTAATGATTGTTCAATGGAGAAGATATAATTTGAAATTTGAATTGTGAATTTGTTATCTATTAGGATAGAGACTGATAAGAATTAGTTAGGCGTTAATCAAGAAATTAAAATAAGTAACAATAAATTTTACGTGCGTTAATCAAGGAAATTAAAATAAATAAAAATAAATTTTAATTGATTTGTTCCTTTATAAGCGCAACAAGAAGTTGTTTTGCAATGTATCACATATAAATAATATAATGTATCCGAACGATAAATATGAAGTTGGGAGCCTAAAAAGTATAAAATGTTAACAAAAATTGTAAAACGGTATATAAAATTTTATATTAACCAAGACAGTAAAATCGCTAGAATAGCAGCGATTTTCTCTGCCGAATTTTGTTTAAAATATATATATATATATTTTACCGTTTTGGTTAATATAAAATTTCATATATCGTTTTTAAAAAATTTCTTAACATTTTATACCTTTTAAGCTTCGAACTCGATAAGCATATATCCGACGGCCTCTTTCTTTAACAAATTTTTATAAATTAAAAATTATTAGGAATAAGGTGTAATTTGAATCTTACATTATAAAATTTCTATAATTTATACGATGTATAAGACATTTCACTATAGCATAAAGTCTATTATTATTAGTTATAAGGTCAAGTTTTAAATTTTTTTTTTAAAAAAAAAACTGGACTATTCTGGAACGAACTCGAAGGCAATAGAGAGTTCATCGAACGGCTGTAATCTGATCCGAACGTTCTGGACTCTGAAACTTTTTTTCCTTTATAAACTGACAACTTCGTCTTCCTTCTCCAATTACAGAAATTTGCTTCATTACATCTCAAACTATAAACAAACATTTACATTTTCTTCTTCTACGAATATGGCGGCGGCAGGAAAAGGCGAAGGACCAGCCATTGGAATTGATTTGGGCACTACATATTCTTGTGTAGGTGTATGGCAACATGATCGTGTTGAAATTATAGCTAATGATCAAGGAAACAGAACCACGCCTTCTTATGTTGCTTTTACTGATACTGAACGCCTCATTGGTGATGCTGCGAAGAATCAAGTTGCTATGAACCCAGTTAATACTGTATTCGGTATGTTTCCATTACCAAAACTTATTCATCCCGCTACTCTAGTCCTTCGAATTTACCTGCCATGTTTTGGAGAGTTAAATCTTTTCATATGCCTTCTAGATTGTTAAATTATCAATTATTGTGAGTTATAGTTCGGATTACAACAAAATGTCAATGGTGCTTTGTGAATTCTCTCATTTCCAAGGATAGGATATAGTTTATACCTAATTTGAAATTGATTGGTTAAAGTGAAATTGTGTTATACTGAATAATCATGTAGTCTTAATAATCTAAGATTGAAGTATAATAGGGAGGACATTTATTGTGACATTTCTTTTGTTGTTATTGGTTTCAGATGCTAAGCGCTTAATCGGAAGGAGATTTAGCGATCCTTCGGTGCAGAGCGATATGAAATTATGGCCTTTTAAGGTTATACCTGGGCCTGGTGACAAGCCAATGATTGTTGTTACATACAAGGGTGAGGAGAAGCAATTTTCTGCTGAGGAAATATCATCCATGGTCTTAACCAAGATGAAGGAGATTGCTGAGGCTTATCTTGGAACAACTATCAAGAACGCAGTCGTCACAGTACCTGCTTACTTCAATGATTCGCAGCGTCAGGCAACTAAAGATGCTGGTGTCATATCCGGGCTTAATGTAATGCGTATTATCAACGAGCCGACAGCAGCTGCAATTGCCTATGGACTTGACAAGAAGTCTACCAGTACTGGTGAGAAAAATGTGTTGATTTTCGATTTGGGTGGTGGTACTTTCGATGTGTCTCTTCTCACTATTGAAGAGGGGATTTTTGAGGTTAAAGCTACTGCTGGTGATACTCACTTGGGAGGTGAGGATTTTGATAATAGAATGGTGAATCATTTTGTTCAAGAGTTTAAGAGAAAGCATAAGAAGGATATCAGTGGGAATCCAAGAGCATTGAGGAGGTTAAGGACTGCTTGTGAGAGAGCAAAGAGGACTTTATCATCCACTGCTCAAACAACAATTGAAATCGATTCGTTGTATGAAGGCATTGATTTTTACACAACTATCACTAGGGCAAGATTCGAAGAGATGAACATGGATTTGTTTAGGAAGTGTATGGAGCCAGTGGAGAAGTGTTTGAGAGATGCTAAGATGGATAAAAGTGGGGTACATGATGTGGTTCTTGTTGGTGGATCAACTAGGATTCCGAAAGTTCAACAATTACTTCAGGACTTTTTCAATGGAAAGGAGCTTTGTAAGAGTATCAACCCTGATGAAGCAGTTGCTTATGGTGCTGCTGTGCAAGCTGCAATTTTGAGCGGTGAAGGCAACGAGAAGGTTCAAGATTTGTTGCTGTTGGATGTTACTCCTTTGTCGCTCGGTTTAGAAACTGCCGGAGGTGTAATGACTGTGTTGATCCCAAGAAATACAACCATTCCAACCAAGAAAGAGCAAGTTTTCTCTACATACTCGGACAACCAACCCGGTGTCCTGATCCAGGTGTACGAGGGAGAAAGAGCGAGGACCAAGGACAACAACTTGTTAGGCAAGTTTGAGCTCTCTGGCATCCCACCTGCACCAAGGGGCGTTCCTCAAATCAATGTCTGCTTCGACATTGATGCCAATGGCATACTGAATGTGTCTGCAGAGGACAAAACTACTGGACAGAAGAACAAGATAACTATCACCAACGACAAGGGTCGGCTCTCAAAGGAAGAGATCGAGAGAATGGTGCAAGAAGCTGAGAAGTACAAGTCTGAAGATGAAGAGCTCAAGAAAAAGGTGGAAGCTAAGAACGGATTGGAGAATTACGCTTACAACATGAGGAACACTATTAAAGATGACAAGGTTAGTTCCCAACTTCCAGCTGCTGATAAGAAGAAGATTGAGGATGCCATTGACGAAGCTATCAAGTGGCTAGACAGCAACCAACTTGCAGAGGCCGATGAGTTCGAAGACAAGATGAAGGAACTGGAAAGCGTATGCAATCCGATCATTGCCAAGATGTATCAAGGTGGTGCTGGTGGAGCTACTATGGATGAAGATGATGGTCCTTCTGTTGGTGGTGGTGCAGGAAGTGCAAGTGGTGCTGGTCCAAAAATTGAGGAAGTGGATTAAGAATTTTTGAGTGGAATTGTTTTACTTGTTTCTTACTAAGTATGCTTTCAAGTAGCCTTTTGAAATGAAAGCTTGTTCATCCTTTTGTTGTTGATAAATTGTTATGTGCTTTTCAATATAGAATTGAAGAAAGCTTATGTTGTTCTTATCCTCTACTAAAACAGTGGTGCAGTTACTTAATAGCTTTTTTTTCTGAGTTATGTCAAAACCATAATGCTTCAGTTAACCAGATTAAAAACTAAATATGGGGATACAATTACAAATATATGACTTTAATGATTGGGATAATCCTTGGTGATAATAAAGGAACGTCTATCTGGGATAGCCTACTCTTTAGTCAAGCAAAGCTAGATTTGGGAAAATAGAACATATTTACTCCTTCCTTCGATTGCTTTCATGCGTCATGCTTCATCCTCTTATCGGGATAGATAGCATTGTACATTACATATACATTGCAACATAGGATAGATGCTTTATTGCATTATGTAACGTTAGAAACGACAACTTTAGAAAATAAGTAGATTTTGTTGTCTGAAAACACTAGGCCGGAAACAGAGTCTTCATATTCCTAGAGTAACAGAATGGCTCATTGTAATTCAGACCACCAAAGATTATCATTTCTTTTTTCCTATAGACTTGACTCATTAAAAATGGCTACATATATGTGAACTTACAACAGCATGCTTCGCTCTGCATCACAGTGTACTCGACTCAGCAGTGCATCAGAACAGCCTTAAAGGAGCAGCAGCAAAGGATCTAAATAAGGTGATATCATCATACGTGAGGCCCTTGACTGAGTAGCAATTCAACAATGATTGAACTTCCCGCTAAAAACCTGACTGTACCCTACACTTTCTGCAATCAATACCTAGCTCATGACAACATGAACTCATTTGGAGGTCGAAGAGAAACAGGAACTTCATGCACTTCTGGGGTTGTGCCATATTTGGGAACTTTCAATTCAAGTACAGCTCCACTCGTGTCAAAATATGCTTCTAGCTTTGCATCATCAGGTATTCGAGTTGGAAGTGAGATTTCCCTAGTGAATTCACCGCAAGGGCAGTGCTCTGGAGATGGATCAGTTAGCTTGAATGTTCTACCATTTCTCACCATGAATGGGGGGCATGCCGTGCTCACAAATGTTATTTTTATAATGGCATGACTAGTATCGTTCCACCAATGAACTTTCACCTTTTCACGATCAACAAAAGGTAGAGTGATCATAATCACGTATCCTTCCGAGTCCTCGTATATAACTTTTGCAGCAACGGCTGGCCCATACACATCCTTCATTACCCCTGAAAACTCATTCATCCAATGTGGTGCAATAGTGTGTGGTTGTCCATCTTGATGTCTGTTTAAACTGGGATTAGCCGACAAGAAACAATCTTCATCACTTCCATGAGAAAAGAAGTCTTTCCTTTTCTTACCACAATCAGATGAGAGCTCTAAACCATTGCTGTTCACATGGTTTGATGGTCGAGTTGACAAGTTAAGACTAGAACCATTAAGCAATTTTTTTGAAGGAAGATGAGAATTGCTCTTTGGCAAAGGGATCGATCTTTGAAGCTCAAAATCTGTGTTGGGAAGGTTCCGCCATGAACTGAAGTCTCTAGCTTCTGGTGGTATTGAAAAATTGAGATCCCTACCAGTAAGTTCCATCCACTTCTTCTGCTCTTCCTCATCAATACACAATAAATTGGGTGATGGGACAAGCTCAATTCCATGCAAACACACCGGATTGGAGAGGCCTCTATAATGTTTACGCTGCATTTTATGAGAACAGATGAACCCCTTGTCAACACTAAATGGAAATGAATGCTCTCCCTGCTTCGAATGTCCATTCATATAACTCCTCAACTGCATCTCCCCCAACGCATTTTCAGACCTCTCCTTGAAAACCCACATGTATATATTCTCCATATCATGCTGAGCCAAAAACACATCAAGCTGGAGATCAGACTTATCAAATCCCGACACCCCATTACTATCTCGAACAACTTTGCACTTAGATTTCTCCTTCAAAACAGGCTTAAAGTAAAACGTAAAGAAAAACCAAGCACCCCAAACACTATCCATTCTCTTATCACAATTCCTTCCAACATTAGGCAAGTCAAGAAGCTCAAAACATTCATTAATCTGGTTTCCAAGTCCAATCTCCATCATATCAAACAAGTCATGATTCCAAGATAGAGGTGGTGGAGGAGGACGAGGAGTAGGGCTACGTTCCATACATAACGGGAGATTAATATCCGGTGGCCTCGAAATCACAATCTCCTTATTCATATCTCTGTCTGATTCCTCATTAGAGGTAGCAGCAGCAGCAGCAATTGCATTTGAATCCATAGACAAGAATGTAGATAATTGATAATTATCAATTGACAAACTTGTCATCAAATCTTCCCCCATCTGTTTACCACTACTTAATTCCTCACAACAAAACCCCAAATATGCAAAAAAGCTCAATAAACACACAACTTCAAGGTTTTACTACAAAAACAATAAAACAAACATGGGTATGTAATATTTTATCAAGTATCAGTATAAAGGGTTGTTCTATGCTATAAAGATGACATTTTTATCATTCTTGAATTCAAGAAAAAAACCCCATAAAATTGAAAAAACCCTACATATAGATGTGAATCAAAATGAATACAAATAAAGGGGTATTAAGATTTACCTTTTTTACAAAGATTTCAACTTTGAATACAATAGAAATATTCACATAGAATCAGCAGCAGCAGTCCATTTCTACAGAGAAAAAAAAACAGGTTTCTTCTTTGGAGATTGAAAAGAAAATAAATTGTAACGGAGATCGTTAACTTTAACGGCGTTAATGGGAAACAGCAAGAGGAAAAGTAACGCCTGATAAGCAATGTCTAATTGTGATAAGTAAAATAACTTTTCATGTGATAAGTAATACATGTGTGTATTATGTACTTGAGTGATATTTTTGTTTTTGCTTATATAGGATATATTGTTGTTATTTATTGTATTGGAATTATGGAAAATTGTACTAAAGATATAATTATATTATGAAAAATTATTTTAAAGAGAATTTTTATGAAAAATTATTGTTTGAATGTGCAATCAACAATCTATGAAGATTAATCAAGGCAACTTTCACTTAAAAATAGTCTAATTACTCTTTATAGCTATAGTTTGATAATTACAATTCGTAGTCATATGTTATATGAAGGAGAGAGGCAAGCGAGTCTGGGAGAGAGAGGGGAGAAAGAGTGGGAGAAAGGTGAATTGCATATGTGTATATTGGTTAAAAAATTGTATATTATACATAGTGCAAACAAGATTGGGAGAGGGAGGAGAGAGGTGAGCGAGACTGGGATGGGGAGGAGAGAGGCGAGCTAAAAGGGAAGAGAGTGGGAGAGAGGTGAGTTGTATAGGTATATAATTGTATATTATACATATGCATTTGTATATATGGCAAGTGAGATTGGGGGAGAGAGGTGAGAGGTGAGCGAGATTGGGAGAGGGAGGAGATAGGCAACTGAGAGAGGGGCATAGAGTGGGAAAGAGGTGAATTGTATATGTACATAGGCTCAATAATTGTATATTATACAAATGTATTTGTATATTCTGGCGAATCATACATATACAAACGTGACTAATTATACAAACTCGAAGTCAGCCCACGTAATTAATGCATAATGTTAGTCACGGGTGGTAATTATAGCATATTGAGGAATATGCAAAGAGTATTGCCAAGTCTTGAATTTGTAGAATTACTTGTTAGGTTGATTAGTTGAGTCGATTATTCCTAATACAACTGTCAACATTCTATTAGTCTACTGGCACTGTTAGTTAGTATAATTGTACATATATATATATATATATATATATATATATATATA